CACAGAAGAAGGCAATGGCAAACCGCTTCTGGATCATCTGCCAAGAACGTATATGAACAGGTCCCAGTCCGAGAAAAGGATGGAAGGATCCTGTTCATATGGACCTGTCGTCAGACAGAACACTAAATAAATATAAAATTTTTAATGGAAGTTTGAATTACGTAAATAATTTCTTTAGAAATATTTATATCATACTGCATTCTTGTGTTACTGAAATAATAATAATAATATAATACGTAGTCTTTCCGCTCAGTCTTTTTCCTCTCTATTACTTCGGTCTCAGGTTCGTATCTTTACGGCGTGGACTTTCATCGTCCTTTCTCTGCGTTACCACCTTTAATCCCCGTAAGACCCATTGCGTCGTCTCGCTAATGCTTTAGAACAGAAAAGTATATCACGCCAATGATGGCAGTTGTACGAAAGGAGCTTTTAAGATGTTGTCTGTCTTAGAGTAGGGGTTTAGAATGCATTCTGAAGGAGAAATTTATGGTTCTCGAGGTGGCAAGAATATCTACCAAGTAGTCTGGTAGATATTGACTCACATTGCAGATGAGATACTGCCTCCATCTTTAGGGTAATGATATTTACCAGATTACACTACAGCGCTACATCCCAGAAAGACAGCCATCTTTGAGGTGAAAGAGTTCAGTGGCGCTGTCAGAACACGGTTAATTAAGAGCCGCAATGTTTAATAGCCTCTAGCGTAAGGCAGAATGTGGTGACACGTAACCTGATGACTGGAATTTGTTTTGCAGAAGGTAGATTAACGACGCTTTTATGTGGTAATTACATTATTTTAGTGTCACACATAAAATAGTTTAATGTTTAAACTTTCCCGGCTTCCGATGTTCCAGTTAGAGAAACGTGGTTAGAAGAAGCAAAGTTATTACGGTTACTGAGATGGTGTAGAGTGATGGAGGATAACCACGGAAAATATCAGTCAGGATAGTCGTTAACTTGTTCTAGGATTGAATCCATACGTAGCTCTTAAGAGGCGTTTGTGTAGGATATAGAACAAGAACATGGTAGCCACTTGAAATCTCTAATTACACTTCGATTTGGAGGCAATAACTAATGAACCTTTAGAGCTAAACGTGTGGAGATAGTGGTAAAACACGTCAGTAAATTGGGTGTGAAATTTTGTGTATATGCTGAGAATTGTAGAAATTCCGACAGTGCGAATTTTTAAGGGTTTGTCGAAATCTGCCCTAGTATAAATTGTGCAGGGAAATGGGTCGCTAACTTGCGTCATTATTAATCCAATTCGTGGCAGCTTCACCAGAACTCCTTGTTTAACTTTCATCTCACGAACGACCCGTGAAATATCTCTTCTCCTTGCAACAGTGGCTCAGAGTCACGACCGAACTTTGTCGTTGTCTCTGCGAGGTTTCGTCGAATGGGTGAATAATGCGGTCGTGGGATGTGTCTGCCGCCTTTACAGATGACGCTACTTGCGAGAAACTGATCCAAAGGCAACTGCACGATAAATCACGCTGATCGCAGCGATCACTTTTCGATGTTGATTTCTGGTGATGACACATCGGGGACTGGCTTTCGATGACTCCATATTTATCACTTGTGATGCTTCTGAGTCAGACAGAAGCGGATTCTGTCTTCACATAAGCAGGTAATTAAACGTCGTGCTAGATACCTCAAAATATTAAGGCGTGATATTTTTAGTTATATTTTGACTTTATTGTTATTATTATTCGGTCTCTAAACGAAATGCACGAAACAGAAGCTTTTAAAGGACGTTTCGTGTATCTGCGCACGTGTTTTACCTCCAATTACTTTCGGTGTTGTGTGTCGACATGAAAGATTTTTACGTTTAATCTCAGTTCCAAAATATTTCTGAAGTGATATAAGGTTGGAGGCTGGGGTGGGTAGGACACATAGAATGCATAGCATAAACGAAGGTTACTTATAGAATTTTTGTCGCAAAAGAAGAACGAAGGAGACGACTTTAGAGGTAGGCGTAGATGGGAGAATAATAGTAAAGAAATTGTGTGTGAGGGTGTGGATTGGATTCAAGTGTTCATATTTCTCGACAAACTTTAAACCCTATTTGTATAGCGATTGTGTTTCTCCCTTGTGTATATGACGAAGTTTTGACACATTATCAATTAGAATGTTGCCATAGATCATAAAAAGTCTTAAACTGCAGCCGGTCTTTTTGCTGCAAAGTAGTTGAACTCGTGACCCCGCTGACCTTCTGGCAGTCTGCAGTCATTTCTCATCGCTGACTGCAGTCAGTTCCCTCACCTATCAAATATTCAAGCTGCAGGCACAGGAGATACACGCGTAGCGCAACAGATGTGACGCGTTCGTCGGAATTTGACCTCTGTCCTTTGGGAATGGCAGAATTCCTCCGCAGAAACGCACGTAGGTGTTCATGTAGAGTGGCCGTTATTGTTGGATGATGTAAACCAAAATGTCAGTGTGTCTAGAGTTTTATTAAAACCCACCAATATAAAATTTCATGGAAATCTGTTCAGCAATTTTCGAATTTTACGTGCGTGCAGATGGACGGGTGGACGGAGCTGTTTCAGTAGGCGCTCCGTGTGGACTAAGTGGATGCATCCACACATCGCGGCATATTGGTTTTCTCTTCCGTTTCAGTTAGGGGGTTCACTTCATTCAAACCTTGGTTCGGATACTGGGATATTTGTGATGTTGCTCCATCCCTCCAGGCAAATTCCGGGACGAGGTAAAGTTGAAGTTGTTCCTGGTACTTACGTAAGCACCAAGCCGTGTAGATGTATGGCGAAGTGGAGGTACAGCTTCACGCACTTTTACCCTCGCAGGGACAGTATCGCAAAACACGTCTTGTCATGTCGCTCCACGTTCCTTCCAGTTCGTCATTTACATTCGCCATATTATTCTACGCTTAATCTCTCGTCTTTTGTTTCGCAGGTGCGGATGTGACGAGTGTGTGACGTCACGGCAGGAGGACTCCCTGAGGCATTCCCGCTCGAGGATCAACGCGTACCGCGCCCTCGCGAGCCCCTCCCTCATCGCCCTGTCCTCCAAGGACCCCATCCTCACGGCCTTTGAACTTTCGTGGGAGCTGAGACGGCTGAGTTTCATGGAACACGAGTTCAAGTGCGAATATCAGGTGCGTCGCTTAAACAAGTGCAGTTGATGAGGCGTTGATAAATAAATTGTGGATAAGAACCATGTCGTTCACGTGTACAGGAGACGTTGAGGTATAAATCCAATTTGATGGTGGATGGAAATGTGTGTCAAGATGGCTGCCTTCTGGATTGTAGAGGCGTGTAGTGTCGTAGAAGTTTACCGACGTTTCAGAGGTCCTTGCTGCCTTCATCATCATGGCCCTGAACTTCTACCAGAAGGAAATTGAACCTTAGGTCTGCTTTGTGTGGGGAGTAATTAATTCATCCAACCGTGACTAAATTGAAACCAATTAAAGGAATCCATTATCCACATTACTAGTAATAGTTTGGAGGTGACGCTGCAAAGGTAGATATGAAGGTTAATTTAAAAATGAGATTGCATCTGTGCAGGAACTCAGGAAGCAATGTCAGGACTTTGCAACTGCGCTTCTGGACCACACCAGGAGCTCCTACGAGCTAGAAGTTCTCCTAAACCACGACCCCACAGGACCAGCCTTTGAGCACGGGGAGCGGATGCACCTCAATCGCCTCAAACTGGCCATAAAGTTGAGGCAGAAGAAGGTAAGTTGCTCTGATTTCTATAACAAGAGTATGCCTTGTGTATGTCCGACGACATGCCTCGTGTCTGTAAATACTTCGATTGAATTTGGGACATCCTGCGAATTGGTCCCACTTCGTTTACTAGTTTGTTATTACGAGAGTCAGGATACTCGTTAAAGATTATAGCACTAATTAATGGAGAGTGACAATACGTCAGAACGAAGATAATATTAAAATAGAAGTTGGATTTCTACGACGAAAGAGGAAATGAAGAGAGGCAACGAAAGAGCGCGAATCTTATCTTTAGCAGATAGAAGTATGAACTGTAATCCGACTTTTGCGTACTTTACGGTATGAACCTACGTGGTATAAAAGGAGGTAGGACACATTTTGAAAGTCCAGAAACTGTTTAAGTATCGTGTTTTTCGTCTGCCTGCAGTTTGTGGCACACCCAAATGTCCAGCAGCTTCTGGCGTCCATCTGGTATGAGGGACTGCCGGGCTTCCGGCGAAAGAACATGGTGCTGCAGGCCCTGGAGATTGTGCGCATCGGGATCGCCTTTCCTGCCTTCTCCGCCATGTACATCGCCGCGCCTCACTCCAAGTTCGGCCAGACACTGCGGAAACCCTTCATAAAGTTCATCTGCCACTCAGCCTCTTACTTCACCTTCCTTTGTAAGTACCCGTGCACATGGGCACAGCAGCGGTCAGCTCTGCGCTCTTGTTTATTTATCCTTTGACTAAGAGGCTGGTCAGGACTGAGGACCCATTTTGCTATCTCATTAAAACATTGTATGCTTCCAGCACAAACCTTTCCAAGTTCCGATCAAAACTCCATCTGATATCCTCCCACATTCTCCTGTTCATCTAAATGACCTCTTTAAGTGAGTGGCCAGGTTTCACACCCATACAGAACAGCAAGTAAAAGCATAATTTTATATATTTTAATCTTTACATTTTTAGACAATTAACTAATTAGCTTAGAATGTTATTGACATGGAACAGAGTAAAATTTATTTCTGTTTCTTACGTCATCAACCTCATACTAATTTACTTTGAAAAATCCATAAAGACAGCCATGAAATTCATTGTTCTAGACTGCGGTACAGTCAGTTGCTGGTGCAAGTATTATCAGAGCTTTGTCCCAGTTTGCCACATGGAGTTGTGGGTACTCGGCAAAGCACGAGAAAGCAATGCGCCCAGACCTCTTTTATGACCTGGTTGTGGATTCGAGAGAGTAACCTAGCAACGACTGCCAGCCTCTTTGAAATCCATTTTCCAACCCAACATTGCACTTCCAGATGAATAATTCAAACCTGATATGAATATTTCATGTCTGAAATACGGAATTAAATGGTTTCAGAAAAGCCGATAACTCGCGCTTCACTCAGATGGTGATTGATAGCTGGCCCTGTAATTTGTGAACGTGCCTTGTATTGGCTTGGTGATAAAGCTCAGAGCTAATTTGAATAACACTTTGAGCATAAGATCCCAGGTTCAACTCTCAACCCAGAGACCAGCTGTGTTGACCGAGGTGTTCGCTGTTTTCTTCAGTCTCTCCAAACAACTGTGAGAACCTGATATCTCACAAACTGCAAGTAGTGATGTAAATGAAACGTTTTACCAGAGAAGGATGAAGTAAGATGGTAAGAACTGTTTTGCGTAACATGTGACTTCATTCCTGGTCTCGACTTATGGTATTTTTGATCGCATAATTGTGCCCTCTGTCACAGTCCTGCTGATCCTGGCATCGCAACGGATAGAGTCTGTGATCGGCGACTGGTTTGGTGACGAGGACCACCGCCATCACCCCCCAGGGCCGATCGACGTGAGCACCAAACGGGGAGCACCGCCGTCCATCGTCGAATGTTTCATACTTGCCTGGGTTTGCGGTCAGTAGCAGAAATTCTGGACGAGTATGTGGATAGATAAATTGATTGATGAATTATTAGATCAGTGAATTCATGGATTGATCAATACACTGCTTGGGTATGTCAGCACCAAAATGTTATTTAAAATTTATTGTGGCCATGACAGGTGTCGTCTTATCCATACGACAGAATAAAATGTGTGTGTTATTCAGAGCCCTGCAGGCCTGTCTTGTTGATACCATACAGTTGACAGGCCTGCTTTGTTGCCTTCAGGGCTGATCTGGAGCGAGGTGAAGCAGCTCTGGGATGTGGGGTTAGAGGAATATGCTAACGACATGTGGAACGTGATTGACTTCGTTACAAATTCACTGTACGTGGCCACAGTGGCTCTCAGAGTGGTCGCTTATCACCAGGTGAGGCCCAAGCTTGATATTTTTTGCATGTAACTGTTACACGTACAAGGCTCTTGTTATCACATTCACAGAGGCCGACATTATTATCACGTGCAACTAACGCAGTAGATCTCAGTTGTTGCCGCAACTGAAGGCTTCCAACCCGCGTAAGCCCGATGCCAGAACATTTTATTGTTTATCCGTAGCAACACATATCATTCTCATGGTGATTGTGGCTATAAATGTGCTCAGGTTCAGAAGGAGATGGCCGCCAAGTTGCAGATGAACGAGCTTCCCCGTGAGGACTGGGATACATGGGACCCTATGCTCATATCTGAGGGCCTCTTCTCTGCTGCCAATATATTCAGGTAAGAATATTACAGAATTTTATTTTTAAAACTGTTACATAGTTTCTTGTGTTTGTGCTCAGAAGACGATGTCTAGCTCGCACAATGCTTCACGACACTCGTCACTGTACACTGAGAGCGCCTGATAAAATTTGAATGCACGGTGCGTCTTGTAAAGGAAACACCTGTTTGACCAAGAGTGACCACGTCAGCCAGAGATTATTCACATCAATTTTTTACAATATAATTAATGCCAAAATCCGCAAAGAGTGCCAGTTTCTGTGTCTGCGCCTAAACCAACGGAGGAAATGTGAAACATCGTAATGGTGAAATACATTAGAAAACAGAGCAGTTTCTTTGTGAGATTTGTGTCAGGTTTACATAATGCAAAGTTGAAGGACGTTTACAAGAAAAATTCCTAAGAATGTCTTATTCTTTGTTAAAAATTACTGTATTGTTTTGCTCTTTTATAATGATGTCTGCTGTTGTCTTGCTATTTGGTAACAATGTAATTTTGTTGCTGTTTTATAATAATGTCTGTCATTGTGTTTATGTTTGGGTGCAATGTCTGTCATTGTGTTCACAGTTACATAACAATATTTGATCTGTTATAGCTCACTGAAACTAGTTTACATATTCTCTGTAAATCCTTACTTGGGTCCCCTTCAAGTTTCTCTCAGCCGCATGGTTCTGGACATCATGAAATTCTTCTTCCTCTACGTTTTAGTTCTTTTCGCCTTCTCCTGCGGTACGTACATATCTTCTGTGACAAATGCAGAATTGTAAAATATTTATGAGATTAGCAGGTGTGTTATTTAATGTTAGTGTTAATTTATTTCACATGTGTATTGTCGCAAAGTAATCACACTGCAGTCATAAATTGTTTCCCTTATATTTTATTAAGTAAAGTTAAACCTCAATGCATCGTTTTTGACAGGGGAGATAAATAAAAACGATGAATACCGGAAAGCATTAATAATGAGAAAAAATTAAAATAGTGCATTTTTTCTCTTTTGCATACACAAAATAATACACATAAAACCTGTTTCAAAGTTAATTATTTTTGCCCGAAAAAGTCTTTAATGGATAACTTTGCGTTTTAGGCGATACAGAGCCCTTTCCATGTTCAAAACGTTTTCCTCATCACCTTCAAAAATATTGTGCGCATAAAAAGAACGAATTCACTTTTTCACCAATGCGGCATGTGCTTCGGCAAAACTCGGCACAGCTTCGGGCTTGTATTCGTCGTCTTCCCCCTCCTTACCGTCCCCCACCCCCTGTCAGGATCGACACACGACTCATCGATGGTGTCGATCATGCATGTGGCAAGATCGTTGTGCGTCTTTCGATATTAATTTATCTCTAAAACGATCATTTTAAATTCTAAAAACGTCGCGTAAATTTCGTTATAATTTCTCAGAAACGATCAGTGTGGGAAAATTGTGGGCCAGGACTAAGAATTTTGAACGATTGATGCGTTAAAACGACAGTTCGAAGAACGATAGAAGCGAGAAAATGGAACATTATTTTATATGGGACGTGTCAGGGACCGAACAAAACAGACGTTGCATCCGGGAAAACGATAGTTCGGGGAACGATGGATAGAGGTTTCACTATTCAGCATGGTAAAACATGTTCCAATAGAAAACTATAGATCTTAATAAGATTTACATTTTATGTACTGGACTTCCTTTTAATTTGTTTACCCATTGCACTAGCTTAAAACCAGTTAGACCTGCATTCTGAAATATCAAGCGGTACCAGTATTTTGAACGCTGAAACAATTAAATGTTGTGAAAGTTGATTTCTGAAATGAGAAGTTATTAGGTCCACACCAAACCTCCAAAAGTGAGGACCATCCATTGTAGGCTGTCTATGGCTCGCTCAGTATCTGGAAGTTATTTCCTCATCCACAATATGAAACTGCCCTATGCTATGGTGATAAATACCTGATTTAAATGTTGGCAGGGTGAACAGGTATCAGAATTTATATACAAGATTTTCTGTCTTTCCAGGTGAATACTGGAATAGTACCTTGAAATAGGTTATGTTTTCTCTCCAGTCTGTTCATATTCTCTGTGCATAAGCATCCACTCATCATTTGACACTAAATTATCCCTGCAGCTGATGCTTCTTTGTTAAACAAACTTAAAATTTGTTTCCCTGCCTATGCATCACACCATAATCCATTATCATTATAATAAAATAAATATTAATGATGTGGGTATTTATTTTACCTGTCATTTTGTGGATATAAAACTTGGTCTCTTACGTTAGCGATTGAGAGTGTTTGAGAACAGAGTGCCTGGGAAAATATTTGGACCAAAAAGGGATCCACCAAATATTATTAGGGTGATCAAATGAAGGAATATGAGTGGGAGGGGCATGTAGCATGCACAGGGGAAATGATAAATGCATTCAGAATTTTTGTTGGATAAGTGAAGGTAACACATCACTCAAAAGACCTGAGTGTTGATGGGAGGATAATATTAAAATGGTGTGGAGCTGATTCACCTAGCTCAGGATAAGGACTGGTGATGGGCTTTTGTGAGCATGGTAATGGTTCTTTGTCTTAGAAAAGACAAGATATTTCTTGACTACTTGAATGCTTGTTAGCTTTTCAAAAAGACTGTGCTCCATGGACTAGGTTTTGTTATTTGTTAGTGGATTTGTAATGATGTTATCATTATCACTGATACCATTGATTATTACTTTTTATTTCAGGTCTGAACCAGCTCCTTTGGTACTATGCAGACATGGAGAAACAGCGCTGCCCAAATGCAACAACTACCTTTGATCCAAAGAATCCTAGTGACCCTGATGCTTGTGTGGTGTGGAGAAGATTTGCAAAGTAAGCAAAAATTGTAAATGACTGTCATATGTCACGTGAATATATATATACCAGTTACTTTCAGCGTGACAAGGGTCACTTGTGAGTTTTGGCATTCCATCTATAAATTTAATGTACAGTTTTCACGAAAGTCTAAACCATTGAACAGTTCGGTTGCTGTTCATTGCTTTAGTCTCTGATACAGGATCTTTCTTTATTCAGCTGTTCAAAATCTTCCCTGTGTATTCTGTATTTATTTAATTATTCTTTCAATAGTGCTTTCTGCTTACAGTCTGTTTGAGACGACTCAAACACTGTTCTGGGCCGTATTTGGGCTTATCGATTTGGATAACTTTGAGCTGGCCGGCATCAAGAGTTTTACCCGGTTCTGGGGCATGCTAATGTTTGGAACGTACTCTGTCATCAATATTGTTGTCCTTCTGAACCTTCTCATCGCCATGATGAACCACTCCTATCAGCTCATTTCCGTAAGTTCTGTAAGTCTGGAAAAGTGACATCGGTTCAACTTCCCATTCTTAGTGCTTGTTGGTGTCTTTTGATGTACTCCAGCCTGTGATGACTTCTGTTGGTTTATTAACCTGTGTGTCTTGTTGAATTTCATCACTTTTATCAACTCAGTTCTGTAAGTTGTTTATATTATTCCTATTTAGTTTTATATTTTGACAATATTTCTGCCAACTTCAAGTCCAAACTGAGGTCCTGAAGGTCTATTAAAGTGCAAGCTCTTGCATATTGTTGGAAGAAGTTTCTGTCTGCTTGTGATACTTTTTTTAAAGTTTTTGAAAGAGTGAATTTGTCTTGGAAAAGTCTAGCAAATGCACATTTAATGATAACTAAGTTACTTTTAGTATCAGATAATTTGAAATCATTAAATTACTACCAAAATAATGTGCAAAGTATTGAAGTTTATTTTCTAATGATGTACATTACATTGTAAATTATGTTCAATGAATTATAATAAACTCGACATGTTTATTAATATTCTAACCAATATGAACGTATTAAATATCAGAATGAAGGAAACAGAATCAGTTGATGTTGGTGGCCATATTGTTAAGTGATTTGATGATACTTCCCAATTCCATGCAGCAGTCTTGGAGACATCTTTATATTTATTTTAAGTCAATAATAAATAAATTTATGAATACTGTTGATCATTGATTATCTGTGCATCAAGTTTTTGATATTACAACATATCTTAATGAAAAAAAATGTGTATTTTTAGTAAATTATTATAAATATTTATTTTTAATTATACTCCTGAACAAAAATTTGTGAATTGACATTGTTAAAAACAATATAATTACTTATATTACATTTAAATAATTTAGTACTTGGTATCTTTAATGTTTCATTAGCTTAACAAATCAGTAATCTGAACAAGGAATGTTGCCTGTTGTTTCAGACAGTTATATAACTGAGGACAACAAAATATTGTTTGGAAATCACAGAATATGGGAAGTGTCATCAACTGTTGATAGTATGATGTCTGTGTCACAGTAATTTGATTTACGTGGTCCATGTCTGTTTGTCACAGAATTGTGCCTCTTACTATACAATGCCACACTCTTACAAACCTCTTGTAGAATATTACACTCCATTTTTAAAAACTCAGACTAACAAGTTAGGCGTGTGAGCACTCTGTAAACCTCAAGGTACAGCAGACTCCAGCTTAAGTAACATAAATGGGACCAATTTGTAGGACACTTAATTGAAAGTCTGGTTATTCTGGTTAATGATAATGTGAAATCAGTTTACAGTAAAATCAAGATATGGCATGGTATCAGTAAGTTAGTTGACTGTGTTTCATTCTTCAGAGTCTAAACATTATTCTATTCTTTATTGTAAAAAGTTTTCCTTTAGTTAAAATGTAACTCATTTGCCGTATTTATAAAGTTAAAATTCATGCCAGTTATCATTACAGTTGATTTAACATCCCTGTGACAATCTTAATTATTTTTCCACAGGAAAGAGCAGATGTTGAATGGAAGTTTGCACGGAGTAAGCTATGGATCAGCTATTTTGAAGAGGGCGGCAGTGTCCCACCTCCGTTCAACATAATTCCAACCCCCAAAAGTGTTTGGTACTTCATTCAGTGGTTACACCGAAAATTGTGTGGTCATTCCAGAGCAGCTAAGAAAGAACATATGCGAACTATACGGGTTAGTTTATGTCATAATTGGTGGAGAAAAATACATAATTTAGGTGCTACTACAAATTTGCAATTTATTACAATTTGGTAAACTAATGGATTAATTAAATCAAGAATATCAACAAGCTAGAACTCTGATGCTGTTCTAGAAATTAAATTTGTGATTCGATAACCTAACCAACAGTCTGACATCTTTATATATACTGAGTATTTTTGAATATTAAGTAATTAATTGAACATTGTGCTTGCAATTAAGATTTCACAGATTTAAATTAATGAGACTGCATGTTTATCAGCTATTTGTATTAACTCTTCAAGAGATATATTATTTTAATATGATATTTTATAAACAGAGAAATCTGTGCATTAATAATATCATTGATAAAATCTGCAGGTTTCATCTGGTCATCAAATATGCCTGCTGTTTTATTCAATTAGGGTTACTGGTTTAGAGTGGTAGAAAAATAAAATATGGTAATGCAGGTACCATCAGGTATTTTAATAGCATAGTTGGTTGAATCTCTGCAATATAATGTATTTTTTATTTGTTCTTTTGATCACTGTGCACTGAAATTAAATTCTATATATGATAATTAAAATACTTAATATAGTGTAACAAACCAATGCATTGTGTCAACTGTGGTCATTAATTGGGACTTCACTTCTGCCCTGAAACTTTCTGATCTCACAGGAAATATTTTCACTAATCTGATAATTATTCTAAGTGTTTTTTTAATGATCATTTTGACAAATGAATAAGTTCATTCTATTCAATTTGCTTGATATTTTTTTAGGAAATCCACTGGAAAAACAAATGCATTAACGTATGATTTTATGAATGTTGAGTTAAAGAATTTTCACAGTGACAGTTAATTATTACCTTTTTGCTACAACGAAAGTGCACCAAGTGACACAGACTTCAGGGCCTGAGCCTTTGGCTGCTACCACTGATTGACTCATCTAATTCTCTTA